CGTTGCACACCGCCACCGCCACAGTGTGTCACACACAGGCCGCCCGCCACTACACCTGGCCGACTGCAGTACCACCGTGCCATGCCACCACCCACGCCCGGCCGTCCCCTTGGAAGATGTGGTGAGAGGAATGGATAAGGAGAGAGGGAGAGGGAAGGGATAAGAGGGGAGGGATCCAGGGAGAAGAGGTTCGGGCCAATGGGAGAGCTCGATTTTGGAGATATGGATCGGCTGACGTGACGGAACATGTTTCTTTAAGTTTATAAAGTGTTGAGTTTGCCGAGGGTGGAGCTAGGACACTTGGCAAAGATGGCTTTGCCAAGTGTCAAGGTTTGGGGCACACGACAAATATATTAATTATTTTTTGATTTCCTTGTTTTCCATAACGTGTTTTTCCTTTTTTTGTTCGATGTACTTTGACAATACCTTATAAAATTGACTCAACAATATATATATATATATGATTTTTCTATAAATATGATTCCTTTATTTTATGGGGTTACAACTCAAATTTAATTTATATCAATTAAAATTCTATAATTGCACTTAATAAATTAAAATTCTCAAACAGATACAAAAAATTACCAAAATTTCACATGAAACAATCTATGTTCTCTATTGCCTATACAAAAAGTTTTGAAGTCAAACGCCAATTCGATCGTGACTTTGACTCCAAATCTTACCGATTTCTTCTCAACGTTACGATTCTTCTTCTGTAATGCTTCGGTTTGTCAACATCGTACGTGACCAATTATGTGAAACCTTCTCAAATTTTTACCATAGCCTCCACTTATGATATCATCACATCATGACAAATCTCATGATTCTCAGACTTTGTTTGCGCTTTTTAGAATTTAAAAACCATTCGACCACACATTCGTGGTCGTGTTTCCAGAACAAGATATTCGAAATTTCTTTTTATTTCCCGGGTTCGGCCTCACACTGGACTCAATAACATGAACATCATTTTTATACTCATTTTATTCTATTATTTGAATCACTTGCAGTTCAAATTTGACTTGGTTCAAAAAATTGCTTGAAATGCAATAAATTAATTAAATATAGCAAACAGATCCAGAAATATACCAAATTTTAACATGGAGTACCACATGTTCTATGTGAAGTTTAGAAAAAGTTTCAAGGTTACAAGAGGGAAAAAACTTATTTCTTTGCCTAGTGCCAAAAAAAAACACTCGGCAGACTTACTTCTTTATCAAGTGTTTTTTTCAGCACTTGGTGAAGGGTTTATTTGCCGAGTGCAATTATTTTGCCGAGTGTTTTTTTTGTAGCACTTGGCAAAGAGCTTGTTTGCCGGGTGCCCGAGGGAATGCACTCGGCAAACATAAAAACACTCGGCAAAGAGCCAGTTTCCGGTAGTAATTGCCACCGCATTCATTGGAGGAGGCCCATAGGACGTGCGGGGCCCCACCATGGCCACACGCTGCCTGGGCGCCCGGCCACACACGTTAGAGGAGCGCCCGCCGGATCTGGGCACGGCCGGCCTCTTCCTCGCTAGATCTGGGCATGGCCCCATGCCACCATGGCACCGCGCAACCGCCGTGGTGGAGCTGCCGCTATGGGAGAGGATGGGAGGCGCAGACGGTGAGAAAGAAGGGGATGGAGCCGACCTCCACCTAGATCCGACCGACCTTCTCCTGGATGCGGCCAACCTCCTCCTCCGCCTCCCCGCCGCCACCGCTGGGCTTCCAACACGATGCACACGCCTCCACCACCTACGAAGGGAGGAGAAAGAGAAGAGGGAGGAGAGGGAGAGGGAGGACAGGGAGTCTCCTGTGCGAGCCCCTGCCTGTGGTTTTGCCTAGAAGAGAGAGACGGCGCCTTGAGAGCCGGCCGAGAGAGTTGGGGTAGGATGAGTAACACTGAAACCATAAGGCGATGTATATTTACAGGCCCAATATTGAGAAATGGGCCACGCACTGGGCTTCGGCTATATTAACACAGGCTGGCCTTATAGTGTGCCTGCCTCCGAAAATGGGTTTACGCAGGTGCCTTATGACGACCACCTCCGAAAATAGACCATTTGTGGAGGCGGCTGTTTTAAAACGGCCGCCTCCGTAAATTCATTTCGGAGGCGAGCATTTTCTGAATGCCTCCGTAAATCGATTTTGTGGGGCAATCATTTTTTGGTGCTGCAGTAAATAAAATGACCGCCTCTGTTAGTCGCTGGGTATTTTACGAAGAGGTTGGATTTGTAACCGTCTCAGATAATGTTTAGGCAGTGTCTCGTAAAATCATTTTGTAGTAGTGTGAAGCCGGAGGGAAGTGCCACAAATTGCAGCTTCGGCTTCTATAGAAAAAATGGCTGCGGCTCCTCCGTCGAATCTGCTATGGGAGCTAGAGTCAGAGCCATACCAGACAGGTCCAATATAACTTGTGGTTTTGTGCCTGGTGGGTTCTCCGATGTACGTATGTTTTGGTGGTTAAACCTTAAACTAGTGACCATCTAAAGAAGTGCGACCATAGGTATTAGTAATATTGTGTATTTAATGTTAGTACATTAGCAATCTCTCCCCACCGGGACAGTCGCCCTTGATCTAGATCTGCAATTAGCACAGGCGAGGGACTCCTTGGCGGTCCTCGGTGGTGCAGTAGGCCCTCCTGACTCGGATCCGCCATCGGCAGTGAGGCGGACGCGCGCGCCACACCCCATTGTCATGGCGGTCCTCGGCACAGGTGCACTTCTCGGGCATAGCAGACTCAATGAGTGCAGGCAGAGGCGGATGCAGATAGGCACATGACACGGTAGGCATGGACGGTGCGGGCTGACAAGGATGGCAGTAAGCACGAACGTCACATGTATGTATTTTAACATGTTTTTATTACATTTTCATCATCGGTTTAATCCTGATGGTGATGAAGGTGAACATCGCCGCCCAGTTTCACTTCCAAATCGCAGAACCGACAGTGATGGCAGTTTCTAAGCCGGCGGGGATAATGTTTCTATAGTATTGTTTTGAAAGTAGTTTGTGGCCTAGATTTCATAATATTAGTGCTAAAATAAATAACCATCTGGTTAATTTGCATAGAGCTGTGTGCATAAGAAACCTAATAACTAAAAATGCATAGATGTTATAGGTTATAATTACTAATAGGGGCACTTTCTTCTTGAGCGAATTTAAGCTCAGTCAGTAATAAAACTAATAAGAATGATGATGATAACGATTATAATTGTCGGAACATTCTCAATGACCACAGCAAAGTAGCATCACCAAATGGAAGTCACAACAAATCTTAAAGGTTTTGTAGATAACTTACGAGCGCACATGTATGCAGCAGTAGTGCCGTACTTGCTCAACAAATTTTTTTGCGAAGAAAAGTTACCACAATAGAAGGTCATGAAGCTTAGGGGCATGGCATGTACAGACCGACTAGCTAGATAGATTGTGAACCAAAATGTACAAGACTACTGACTATCTAGATAGATAGTGAAGCAAATGTGCACACATGAATATGAAGCATATTAAATCATTAAATTACATTATACGAACCTGCTTCTTGAGCAAAGACCAGGCATCTTCTTGCTCTAATTTGTCGACATAGTGGTAGGGAACCACTGCCGTCATGCCTCGGGCAACTGCATCGTGTCTCGTTATGAGAAACTTTGTGTTTCTGGCTTCTTGATGGTCTCCTCGTGCTTTAGTGATAGCTCTCTCTAATAGACCAGCATCGCTAAATTCTTGATTGACACTCAACCATATTTTCTTTTGATACTTTGTTTGATATGATTACAGATCTTCCTGGCATAGGGCTAAACCTTGTACCAAAGCAAACAATGTTAGACGTAACAACCATGTGCCACAAATACTAAAAAAATGCATAAAACCAATGCACCGTGGACGTGAAGAAAACCCAATAATGTAAGACTTCACTATCAGGATATCTAAACATGAAAGTGATGGATATCAATATGGGTAGGACACTAGGACAATGATGATAATAGCCGCACATGGTACCACACATATTGTTGGCGAGCAAAACAAATGGAGGCTAGTAATAAATCAATGATTATAATTTTAGTGCTAATCTATGTAATTTTAGGCTAGGTAAATAATTTTCCTATGCTGTCGAATAATTCTTCCATATACGATGCATACAGTCAATAATGCAACCAAGTATGACCGGCCATACTCTCCTCTTATTTGAAGCCAATAACCTCCTAATGTCCCCAACGTTATGTGTCCTCTTTCAATGCTCTCTCAAGCCAACAACAAAGTATTTGAATCTATCAACCTCCTTGCTTGTTTTGGCACCAGCACTCATACACCAGTTTATCCGTGCCTAGCCTGCACGGATGAGCATTTCTAAAATTGTGATTGCTAGTGTGAAGTGCAACATCGGTTGGCAATATATGGCTCTAGCTCCATTAGCAAATGCTGGCGGCACTTTCCTGCTTTTATGCCGCTAGGTCCACACGTCTCTAGTGGCGCCCCATTTTTATCGCTGGCCCTGGTGGCTTCCTTCCTCATGCTGCCCTTCCAAGAGGGCCATGATATAATTCAGTAAATTTCGAATCCTATCTTCAATAGCTTTGATTTCTTGATTTCTTGCATGTTAAATTAATGTTCCTATGGTTTTTAATGTATACTTTTATGTACTAACTCACCCAAGCCCTGCTTGCGCCATCCATTGGACTAAACCTTATATGAAAGCAAAGAATGTTAGTCCTAACAACCATGTAGATGTCATTAGGATCATTGAACTTCCAAGGACGATGTCGCGCTGCTGACATTGCGTAGAACACCAATAAGGTAAAGTTTGTCTATCAGGATGATAGGGCAGCAGTGATAATGATAGTGATGGATACAAACATGATAGGGCAGCAGTGATAATGATTTATATCAACAAGTTTATTTTGAGTACCAGCATCCTCACCCCTATAAATAGGTGCCAAGCTAGATTGAGCTCCTCAAGCTTCTTCACCCACACATCATCCGAACATATACACGAGTTGGCCCTCTCTGCTCCTAGAAACATCCTCGATGGAAGGCAAAGGACAGCTCAAGTGTTTCATCACCATTCTTCTCGTCCTGGGTCTCGTCCTTGAGCAGTCTCCGGTGGAAGCTAAAGCCATCTGGTGCTGCGCAAACGCCCACCAAAAATACCATTTTAACCGGTGCGTTGACTTGGGTATCGGTAGTGTCGAATATTGTGGAACTGGTACAGGTTGCGTAGTGATGGATGTGTGCGGGGGCGAATGGCCGGTGCCTTCTCGTAAGAAGAACCTCTCGCTTCACTCTTTTCATTTTGTTACTATTATAGTATCACCATGTGACATTATATATGGAACTCCGTTGATATGAAACAATGGCTTTCAATTAATCTGCAGGTGATGCATCCGTTACCATGGATATTGCATAAGAAAGTGCACGTACGCGATGGGGTTGGAGATTTCATGCCAAAGTGATGAATTGAGTGTCTGGTTATTGTTATCAACTTGTCATATATCCAAGTTCTGCAGCATGCCTTCTCCGTTCATTTGTCTTCTGATCTATTTTTCGTATTTTCCAAAGTTTGTTCGTCTTCGAGGTGTGTCTGTGCCTTCGGATATATAGTAAAAAATAATGTCACCATCAACGGTGGCGTCACTGTTTGTCTCTATTCCTGTTTTTTAGTCGTTTATATATTACTCGTTCTGTCTTGGTGGAAAAGACTTTTGTTCGCAAGGAACAAAAATTCTCAAATTGAGAATTATCATGCATTAGGATATCTGCTACCACCAAATTTTAAAATATAGAGACAAATAACAAACGGCAGTAGATGTTCTACGGTCCAGATGAAACCGGATCCAGTATTGATCCACCATACAATTCGATGCTGTTACCTCATCAATCCAGTGGTTGCACATATGGATAGATCTGTTGCTATTACCTTGTTCAACTACACCAAAGGAGTCACACGCCGGAGAAGCAGGGCCGGTCCTGAGTTTGTATGGACCTAGAACGAAACTGAAATTTTAGACCTTTTTATATAAACATAACAATATACTACCAGTACTATTCATTGCTAGTATATATAGACATATATACACAACGTTACTAATAAGTGGTTAGCTGAATGCAAACGTAATATTCATATGAAATAATTTATATATTTATTAAATTACCTGAAATTTTTCTTCTAACATTCTTCGATGCGAAGCCATTGATGATGGTGTCAATATCAATCTCATTCAATAATTGCTTCTCAATGCATAATGTTGTTAATCCAATTAACCTCTCTTGTGAAGAGCTCTGTGATTATATCAAATTATCTTATTGGTCTGTTCTTCTTTATTTTATTGTCGTCAGAAGCATACTTTCTTGATGATATGGTATTGTTGAAATTTAGAGAAATAATTAGTTAAAGATTAAACAATTATATAAAGAGAGAATTCACAAAGATTAAACAATCACCTTAGGGAGTCAAGTGGCTAGCAGATTGAATATTTGAATACTCAGTTAAATCGCATTTTTTGCAAATATCAAATGATGTCCATCCGACCGGATCTCTGAATCACTGATTAATCAATCACAAAAACACTATCAGATTCAACATAAATATATAATTACATAAAGTAGGGCAGCGTCGGTTGTACATGATTAGGGATCATAGACAGAGATACCTGGTGGCTACCGCCTGCCTGCTGGTGCTAGAAGCGACATCGCCGAGTTGCCCTCGCCCTATGCAGCGGTGCGTCGTGCAGACGTCCCTAGCTAGCCGACGACTCGCAATCGATGCAGAGGAAAGAGGATGAGAGGAAGTCGAACAACGCCGTCGCGCTCACGCCGAGTCGCCCGAACCACTGAGACGAGTCACGTTGCGTGCCCTTACTGGGCTGAGATACGCTGAATGTATGCATACAAATACCTGGGGAGTCCGAGAGGGGCCCATCGGCTCCCTGGGCCTGGGATGGCTGCCCCTCTCGCCCTGCCCCAGGGCCGGGCCTGCGGAGAAGATGGCCACGGAGGACGATGCTGTGGCTACGACCTCTCCTTTCTCTTTCCTATCACTCTCATCATAGTCTAGCCGTTTTTTTTTTGAGGAAAATCTTAGTGTAGCCGTTGTCCCTCTTCACACTATATGGCTTGCTTATTTGGCTGGCATGGCGGCACGGCATCCTGCCCTGCGTGAGCACACAGCACACAGGCTAGCGGCAACATGGCTGGCCTGGCGCTCTGGCCCACCTGCTCGCTTGCCCGGTGGTGACGCCATGCGGCGTTTCTCACGCGACAGTGTGACCTTTTTGGCGATGGATTCATGCAACTCAAAAGTGGAGAGGTCGGCTCTTTCCTTTGCTGGAATAAGCTGTGCCACGTTGGCGGTGTGTGATGCCATATACCGGCCTTGCCCTGTCCACGTGAATCCCATAGCCGGAATCCTGGGTTTTTCCGTACCGAGCATGCAAGTCGACGACTGAGGTAGCGGCCGAGGATGATCAAATGAAAATTTGACTTGGACAGGGGGTTTTCTGCTGAAATCATGGCCCTGTGGGTGGCAACGTTGGCTCCTAGGTGTTCCAGTGTCTATTTTAGACTCGGATGTCACTTAAATATATCAGGGAGCTAAATAGACGATTTCGTAACTTGCAGATCCAAACTGGAATCGAGTAATACTTTAAGGATCAGCTGTGCAATTTACTCACGTTTGTTTATTAGACACGACCGTTACACAAAGCCTGTTTGTTTGTTTTTATTACACACGTGCATCAGAGCATCATACCATATCCGAATGGGAAAAGCAAAGAGAAAAAAGAGACTACATAAACTATGATGAGACCGATATGAATTGGCGAAAAAACACCATGGCTACCACTTCCACTGTCTACTATGCCAGAACTACAATTATGTACTATATAGTTTTTTTTTTGGTAATACCCACTTGTAAGGATGACGCTACAAATGGAAATGGCTTGTGCAGATCAGTCTGGGACAGAAAATCTGACTGGTCCAATTTCACAAGATCGCAATTAGCAATCTGTCAGAGTCTGGTTTAACTCTTTGGTACCGTCGGCATTATGTGTCCGTGGCCTGACGTGCATTAATTCTCGAGAGCGATTTGATATGGACGATGTGCCTGTCTGGGCCTCGTGAAAAAAGTGACTTTCCCCCAACCGCGTCAACTACGCCACGTTTAGTTCCAAACCCAAATTCTAAAAAAGTGCTACAGTAGCCATCACATCGAATCTTGCGATACGTGCATGCAGCATTAAATGTTGACGAAAAAAAACTAATTGCACAGTTTGGTTGGAAATCGCGAGACGAACGTTTTGAGCCTAATTAGTGCATGATTGAACACTAATTGCCAGATAAAAACGAAAGTACTACATGTGAATGCAAAATCGAGGCATCGCTGCTCGGGAAAAAAACACTACTATTGTGCTAGACCTGGTCCCGGTTACAAAATTGGCCGTCAGTTGGCCACAATCTAATTACTCGCGCTGTGGCATCGCACAAAATCCCTTCTACACGTTCACATGCCGTATACTCCTCTGTTCCTTTTCAAGTTTCGCCCTGATTTTCGTGCTACTCAAACTTACATGTAATATCTGTATCTCCAAGCACACTTCTAATTTTTTTTATTTTCTGCAATATTTCATCCACATGTTAAGTTGGAAATCTAGTACGTGATTAATGTACCATTTGTTCAATTTTTTTTTGTGTAATGTTAAAATGAATCTAGGTTATAGAGTACACTTGGTTAATATAGTGGGATAAACACACTCGTTACAGTCATGTATCCTATAAAATAGAGAGCACTTATAATTAAATTACCAGTACTGAGCCAAAATGTACAAAAATTAATTTAACTAGAATTTACAAATTTTAATAATAAGGACTACTAAACCAAATTAAAGTGAATTCTCAAGGTCATTGGATTCTAGTCGGTTAAAGGAGACTTTTGACACGCTTGATACACTACTAAAGTAAATATTTATCCGACGTATTCATGTTACTTAGTGTACATGGAGGCTGTAGGATTATACTTACATTTACTTAACTGCTGTGTAATTTAGAAACAGATATTGCATACCTTATGGTTGTCCTTAAATTGCTATGAAAGTTTATATTAGTATCTATATGCATACTCAAGTTGAGGGATATTTTGCTTTATTTTATATAATGACAGAGGTGGTTAATCTAGATACAACTTGGAGTATTCGTTAGTGATTTCCTTTTAGATGCTAATTTAGAGATTACATTGCATTATCTTTCGTAAAGACATATGTGGGTAAATTAAATAGAAATTCATAGATTAATTTATATAATTATTTTAAATTACCTTTCATACATATGTTGGGGCGGGTACTTTATTGTATTTAAATTTCTTGTAACGGAATCCTTAACACTTAAGCATTGATCGGCCTGCTCCCGAATCCCCTCTTGCTTCGCGTCTCGAACTCCAGTCCAAATATCGGTGTCCTAACTCATGCATAGCATGTTGTTGATCTAAACTAAGGAACAAATAACATTAGATATATATTGGGTAAACGGAAACAAGCTAGCACAAGCTGCCCTTATTACATATGGTGGACCATACTCTGATCTGATGACAGCGAGTACAATCTACAGCAGTTGGCCGGTACATATGAAAAACAACATGGCACATGTAAATTAAAGATTGCAAGATAGACGCACAAACAACATAGACTTTCAATCTTGGCTGGGACGACAGAGTGCAGTTTCTTAGGATGACGAGCGATTTGCCTCCTTCTTGACCCACACGTTGTGCCCATACGGCAGATAGTGGCAGATTGGTCCGGCGCCAGGCTTGGTGCCGAGGACCTTGAAGGAGAAATGCTCGGCGTCCCAGTGGGACGTGTCAGTGTGACAAATCACGGCAACAGTGACGACAAGGCCACTACCGGCACCCTCCAGCTCCACCATGTACGCCCTCGTCGCAGGTGTGTTATGGCACATGTAGACGGTGTACGGGTAGTTATGGTCGTGGCATGACACGAAGCTCGACCCATCCACCGGGTGTACAGCTCGTACGGTGTACGGTTGCTTAGGTGCCCCTGAGCGGGGCAGGTCGGAGGTCATCGGCCGGATGTTGCGGGTGCCAAGCGACCAGGGCTTCCAGCGACGTAGCGCAGAATTTGGCCTCACCTGCCTTTGGTGGCAGGCCACACATGTATAGCGTCTCCTCCATGTTGGCTGCCTGCACGGAGTTCCTGGCGACACCAAGCCGAGCGAGGGCGCTCGGCAGCGAGGACGTCGAGAATGGAATGGAGTCCGCCACATGGCGCGGCAGTAGCGCGAACGGTGCGCTGGCTGCCAAAGGGAAGTATAAGGTTATGGTCTTACCTACTTGCAGTGCCTCCTCACGGAAGAAGAGCCCCTGGGCCAGATACTCGTCAGTGCTGTGGTCACGGACATGGGGTGGCATGGGAGATGAGTCCTTGGTCGGTCTAGAGGGGGAGCGAAGCCCCCACATTAACCTAGTCAGGGAGTAGGCTTCAGCAACCGTATCATCCTTAGATGGCCTGGGAGACGAGTGCTTGGTCGGTCTAGAGGGGGAGCGAAGCCCCCACATTAACCATGTCAGGGAGTACGCTTCAGCAGCCGTATCATCCTTTGGTTTGTTTGCAAAGCTGGTCTCTGCACCGTAAAGTATGTAGACCAGCCGTGAGCATCAGCCATAGATAATCATGAATGTTCCAACCTTCTTTTGTTTTATAATCATAGTTTTCAGATATTAATTAATTAAAGCGAGTAATGGACTGACCAGGATGGAGGAGCTTGAGGATGGGGTCCGGGAGCGGAGAATCGGGCAGGACGGTGCGCCAGAACACTTCAGCCTCCGTCAGGACTGCATTGCTACACTGTCCAACCTGAACACAACACGACAGATTTAAATTGGTGGCCTTATCTATACCTATGCCTAATATTAAAGATCAAAATTCTATCCATTGTTTTTGGTCACCTCGTCGTCCTAACAACTCCTAGGGTCCATGTGTTTCTGTAGATTTATGATGTATATATACGACCCAACGATCGAGGTGTATGTAGACCGAGCATATAATCATGCTAGACCATCTAGGATAGTATATATGCGAAGTATGTAAGTATATATACAATATATGATTATACTTGTTTTATGCACTATTATATGTTTTAGAAAATATGGGCTCTTCTGAAAAATTTCCAGTACTAAGATTTTAAGTATCTTAAAATAAGTATATAAACATAATCAAAACTGACAAATGATTATATACACATAAGCAATATGGTTCATTAAAGATCGGAGTAACTACTCCTCGGAATAGAAAAAATGCACCCTAACACACACACACACACACACATATATATACATATATAGTATAAATAAATGTATTGTCAAAACATATTTCATAGTTTATCTCACGGACCATTATTTATGGATATTTCTACAAGCTTAATCAAAGCTAAGGAAGTTAGATTTAGCATGAAACTATAAAGACATAATTATTTTGGAATGTCACGAGTAAATGATTACCGCAAGCAGAACAAAGGTGGCGATTATAGCAGAGTGGAGGAGTCGCGCCATAGAAACCAGCCGTGATATTCTGATGACTATCCAGCCCCAGATGTTTCGACTAAGCCGGCCAGGGTATGCAGATACTTATAGTAGAACCTTAGAAGGTGTCAAGCTGGTACCGGATGTGATAGTAATTTACCTACCATCTGCTCTCCTAGAAGATGTGTAATATAGAAAGGCTGCCAAGGGGATCGAATCTTAGTGAATGCCTGCTAAGCCAATCTTAATGACGAATGGCTGCTAAGGCAATCTTAATGACGAATGGCTGCTAAGGCGATTTTAATATAGAATGGCTGCTAAGCCAATTTTAATATAGAATGGGTGCTAAGTCAATCTTAATGACGAATGGCTTCTAAGGCAATCTTAATATAGAATGGCATGCAGGGGAGCCGCACATTTCGGGAAACTGTGGCTCTACTGATTGCTGGAAGCAGTGCGTTGAGCTCTACTGTAGCGGCCATGTACAAACTCTGAAGCCAAACGCGCCCAGCAATCAGCAGAAAGCCGGCCTGCGCTCTGAATCTGGACACAGCCACGACGAGCTGACTCAGTGTGCACGGTTGACTTCGGCAAATGCATAGGATATGTTGAGTCACGTGCCACGTGGCCATGCCTTCCACACGAAGAATCCAAGGAAACCCCATGTCAACGATGTCGACTGCCTATAATCTTTGGAGCACTTTTCTCATGTCACTGCTTAAAAAAAGCATTTATAGCAACGCCTTTTTTCTAAGTGGCGGTTCAATTTAAAACCACCTCTAAAAATGGTTCCCAAAATGAATAGCGTCGATCTAGAAATGCATTTGTAGGGGTGGCTGCTATTTTTAGCCGCCTCTACAAATGACCCTATTTGTTGGGCGGCCCTAGATCCAGCCGCCCCTACAAATCAACTTATAGAGGCGGCTGCATCTAGAACCGCCCCTATAAATAGGCGCCGAACAATAGAATTACATTAAAAATTGAATTTTTTCAAACGACCTTGGGCGGAGACACGACCAAAACGAAAGTTATAGATCTCGAAAAGTTATAGGACTTGTAGTTGACAACTTTTTTTATTTAAAATCATCTACCCATGAAAATTTGGTTTGATGTTCTCACATTTGGAATTCGAATTTTTCAAGTGACCTCAAATGGAGAAACCGCCAAAACTAAAGCCCTCCTCTGCCAGATCTGCTCCACATGGCCCGACATCCCATCTCCCAGATGAAGTGGGACGGCGCGGGAGTGCACGCCACAATTTCTCCGGCAGGCGCGGGACGTTAGAGGGAGGGGCACATCCAGAATCCACCTTGCCCGCCGGTAAGGAGGCCCCACGACGGCCTCGGGGGCAATGCCAACTCTCTAGATGGAGAACCCGGCCCCCCGATCGACGGGTACCTGGGTGGCACGTCCTCAAAACCATCCAACTCCTTGGAGTTGGGTTGGGAGCCGCTGATCGGTGGGCCCTTCCAAGCTCGGTGCGCTCCCCACGCCCCTGCCTATGATTGCTAGGGTCGGACCGAGAGGATCGGGTCCTGTTACCGAAGCCCCTAGAAGGGCGTGTCACGTCGTGTGATTAGGTTGCCTCGAGCCAGAGCCCAGATGCTGTCAATCACCTGACCCACGGCAGGCCTAGGTCGGAAAGGAGGGTGCCCTAGGGCCGACGGCCGGTGACTCCCAAATGAGTCCGCCGGACCCTCAGGCCTCAGACTCCCAAAAGGGGTCAGCATCACCATCGCTCGGCCCTGATAGCCGAGCGCCCCACGAAGGGCATCGCACTCTCGCCAGCGGAGGTCATCCCCCGTGATGGCTAGTTTGGTGACCAGAAGATCTAATTCAGCCCTTCGTCGTCGTCACGAATCTACCAAGTGAAACCACAAAGAGCTCAGGAGCTCTTGACGAGATCCTATCATAGGCGTGTGTTAAGCCTCGAGATCAAAGGTTTCCGACAAAGAGACCCCCCAACTGACACCTTTAGGATCACCTAGGGGCTCAGGGGCTATACCCATCGAGTACGCTCCCGCCTACCCTCACGCCAAGGAGTCAGGCCGAGCCCGAGCACGCCCGTTGCCTCTGCTAAGGGCTCGGCCGCTCGACCGAGCCTCAGGTTCTCCTATCAACAGAAGCCTGGACCCGATCCTTGGCTCCCTCTGGGACACCGACGGTAGCCAAGGCCTAGGCACGAGAAGGTGCGCCCTAAGCCACTGAGGCTCGGGGGGCTCCCTAACGCTGCCTCGTGGGCACCGCTCTATCAACCGCTCCTTCGACAAGGTCACGCACGGGGCATGACGCAAGAAGACAAACTCCTCCGCTGGCTCTGTGGGCTTGGGGGCTTTCAGGCCCGTGCATCAACCCCTTGAGCCGGCCACCTTTGCCACTAAGAAGCCTCCAGAAGGAGCACCTGGCGGAGGCTGGTCCAAGCCAACACAGCCTGACACTGCGTGTCAGAACAGAGTAGCCAGACGACGCCTAGAGCTTCTTTGTCTTCACGACATCGCCACGGTCCACACAACACCACTGCAAGACCCTCCTAGACTCTGGACCATATAGACCATAGGCTCATCTCCCCCAAACCGCCATGTACCCGACCTGCCTCAAGATATAATTGGGAGGTCGAATCCTAAGATGGGGGAGGACGATTCCAGACAGATCATTCGAGACTTCACCGTTCCACTCGAGCTCTGCACCGAGAATAGAGCAACCCAGACAGGGGCACCGAGAGCTCAACCAATCTATCGTCTTCCTCCTCTCTGGTGAGAGGGAAGGCTCCACCGATAGCAAGACAACCCTAGGATCAGCATCGAGTGATCCCCTACCAAATCTCTCTCTTTCTCCCTTACACTCTATTGTAACCTCCTAGATTTTGGATGCTCTTGAGTATAGGGATCATCAGCTGCTAAATGTAGGGCACTAATTGCCTAAACTAGGATAAATTGTTGCGTCCCCTTTCTCATTCTTGTGTTCTTGAGTCCACCCGAACCACCGGAGACACGCACTCTGACACTACCACGAACAGCAATGCTTGCCGTGGTTTTGACCTCACGACACCGGCACTTAACTAAAGACATTCTCGAGGCACCTTTTAATCTGCATTCGTGTCTCAAACTAGGACTAAAGCCTCCTGCACTGACACGTCTTGGTACCCGTTACAACAAAGACTTGTCAATATCAAATCTGTAGATTAGGTCGGCCACTAGAACTTTGGTATTAACTATGTGAACATTTGAGATCGTTTATGAATTCTAAGTTTTAAATTTCAAAATCTATAACCTTCGAACGCATATTTGAGACTCTAAACATCATCAAATTTAAAACTTTTCAACTACAAAGTTGTAGATTGTTTTAAGAAATATAACTTTGTATAGATCATATCAACATCTGAGATCGTTTGATAATTTAAATTTTAAATTTCAAAATCTATGCAATTAAAACAATATTTTGGCACCCTAAACAGTTTCAATTCAAAAACTTTTCAACTACATAGTCGTAGATCTTATCGAGTTCTACAATTCTGATATAAAGTTTATCTTCATCCGAGTTCATATGAAAAAGTTATAAATTCTTTGTTGCTACAATTATTAACTGAGGCGGACATCTTAAGACAGTCGCCTCCGTAAATCGATTTATGGAGGCGGACGCTTATAACGAGTCCCTCCAAAAATAATCGATTAACCAAGACGGTTGGCTTACAGTACCCGCCTTGGTTAATCAATTAACGGCATCGGTTAATCTAACCGAGGCGGGCGCATTATGTGGCCCTCCTCCTTTAATGATTAACCCAGACGGGCGCTGGACCTGCTGCCCTGCCACCGAATAACGGAGACGGACAACTAGCCCACCCGCCTTAGGGAGGCAAAGGCAAACATCGCCTGAATGTTTTTGTGTAGTAGTGACTTATGATTCTACTAAATCTAGAAAGAGATCATAAGGATGCAGCCATAATAAACGCGATAGAATCAATAACTTTGACTAATGTCAGATCTAGCAAGAGGTCGAATGATGCTCCCTTACAAGATTATATATAAGTCGATAAGATGATACTTACGAGCAAACTAAAGATCGAAATCCATGCAACCCTACCTACTAAATAACTCACTGATAATTACCTTACTCATATTCCTAATGCGATGGCATGAAGCTAAAAACAAGTTGTATTGATCGAGAGATGTCCAAATACAAATGTATGGGTCCGTAACACTACTACATAAAGTTTATCACCGCCGGTTCTAGAACCCCTTCATCGATGGTTTTGGACCTCGTTGGTAAAATTCAGTTGTGATAGTCTACATCACCGCCAGTTGCGCACTACCGGAGCTATTGGTCATCACCACAAGATCAGCGTACGATCCAGTGGTGCTATAGGGTACTTCATTGCCACGCCAGAGTCCCACTCGACGGCAATTGGTCGAGTACCATCACGCTGCCTGGGCGCCCGGCCACACACGTTAGAGGAGCTCCCGCCGGATCTGGGCACGGCCGGCCTCTTCCTCACTACTATTGTGCTAGACCTGGTCCCGGTTACAAAATTGGCCGTCAGTTGGCCACAATCTAATTACTCGCGCTGTGGCATCGTACAAAATCCCTTCTACACGTTCACATGCCGTATACTCCTCTGTTCCTTTTCAAGTTTCGCCCTGATTTTCGTGCTACTCAAACTTACATGTAATATCTGTATCTCCAAGCACACTTCTAATTTTTTTTATTTTCTGCAATATTTCATCCACATGTTAAGTTGGAAATCTAGTACGTGATTAATGTACCATTTGTTCAATTTTTTTTGTGTAATGTTAAAATGAATCTAGGTTATAGAGTACACTTGGTTAATATAGTGGGATAAACACACTCGTTACAGTCATGTATCCTATAAAAATAGAGAGCACTTATAATTAAATTACCAGTACTGAGCCAAAAAGTACAAAATTAACTTAACTAGAATTTACAAATTTTAATAATAAGGACTACTAAACCAAATTAAAGTGAATTCTCAAGGTCATTGGATTCTAGTCGGTTAAAGGAGACTTTTGACACGC